GGTCACAGAGGTGAGTCAAAACCACAACCTCATTCTCAGCACCTCGGCAACCAAAGAAAGTTGGAGCAGGCATGAGCCTGAACGTGGACTCCAGTCCTTGGAGTTAAAGTGATTTCTTAGCCTATAGCTCTGGATGCAAAGGGTGGAAACACAGACGCAGATCTGGTTTTATTTGAGGGGTCCTATGAGGGAAAAGACAGGGGAAAAGGATGGAGAGGTACACATTTTAAGAAAGACTTGCTTTTGGTATGTTTCCAATAACTAAAGCATACAGCAGATGAGATGTCTCGAGAAGACATCACAGGATTTGGAAGTGAAGATTTCAGGAATGTTGCCTTTTTGGGCATAAACTTCAGCAGCATTTTGTGACCATGTCTGCAGTCCCTGCCTGGAGAGAAACCCTCCAGCAGAGCAGAGAGAGTCAAGGCAGCTTCAGTGATAATGTTCCCCTCCTTCTAATGGGCATTTTTCTCCAGGATTAGAGGAATAACTCAGCTTTGATGACATATCACCACCACTACATTACTCAGAGCTCCATACTTCCCTGCTGTCAAAACAACAGCCTTTAGCTTCCCCTAAATCTAGACCCAGCTGGCACATCTTCACTTGGGTTCAAGAAGATACTGGACAAATTCATCGAAGGGAAATTGAGAGAAATTACAGAAGCTAAACCTGGCTCAGAGCCCCCCAACCTGAAATCGGTCATCTGCAGGTGGACATGGGGAGAAAGTATCAAACACCCGTGTTCCAAATCTTCCCCAGCTATCCACTATCTAGGGAACATCTGTGGGGCAAAGCTGAGCTTTGGTCTGACACATTAAAGCCATCCCTATGTTTACTTTTTAGGACTACAAGTCATTGTCAGCTTACGAAGAGCATTACTCACCAATAACAGTGTGATGTACATGAACAAAATTGCAGCCACAATCAGGAGAACAAGAGACCAGAGAAACCAGAAGCCCAGGTTCCCATAGTTATACCTAAAAAGGAATAAAATATTATGATAGTGTCTGTGTTTATCACATGGACTGGGGGGAAAAAACAGCTCTGTTCCTTGAAATGTTGACATTTTCAAAGCAGTAAAACAAAGAGGAAGGAATAACCTATCCTGTAACATGCAAAAGTGGTTGAGTGTCCTCCCCCAGATCCATGATTGCATTAGCCACCAGAGTACTGGACAAGGGCTAATGGGTTTAAACTGAAAACAGGTAGATTTAATCAGGTATCAGGAAAAAATTCTTCCCAGAGAGGGTGGTGAGGCACTTGAACAGGTTGCCCAGAGAAGTGGTGGATGCCCCATCCCTGGAAGTGATCAAGGCCAGGCTGGATGAGGCTTGGAGCAACTTGGTCTAGTGGAAGGTGTCCCTGCCCATGGCAGGGGGCTGGGGACCTCTTTAAGGTCCCTTCCAACCCAAACCATTCTGTGATTCCATGATTCTGGGGTGCTAAAATACCAAGCCAAACTGATGGCCTCGCTCCAAAGAGCTCCTTGTCTGACCGTAAGACACAGCACCTTGCTGTGGACAAGGCAGCCTGGGGAAACAGCAACATGACATGATCAACAGCCCACCTTCTCTGTCCGTGGTTGTGTAGGGCACTGCAGAGGAAAGGGGCTTTGGGTCAGGTTTTGGAGCAGAAAACACAAGAAAGCTGTTGAAGTTGCAAAGGGTTGGCCCAAGGAAAGAGAGAGGGAGGCTTTATGTTTTACCCAAAGGATGAATAATATTCATAGAACCATAGAATTCAATTCTTACACCTTTCATTCCCATAATATTTGAGCTGTTTCAATTTAATTTTAGGGGCCACATTTGCATAACTGTTACCTGCGTACTGCAGAAGGAAAGGATTTGCATAAATCCCTGCCAATTATTTCTTACTTTTGAGCCTGGGAACATGCAAAACGTGCAATTTGCAGTGAGATAGCTGGTGCAATGCCTCTGATGCCAGCCACTACATTTCTCCAGAGGGAACAGGGGAGAAAAAAAGGTTCAGAGAAAGAAAAGGAAGAGTTTAGTCCCTTTCACACACAATTTTTGTGAAGATGACTCTTCCCTTGCTCCCAAATTCACATTTGCACGTAAAAACTGCATCCAAGCAAAGGGCAGAGCCTCAGAACCTCTGAAGCCACTGGATGTTCTGTTTGGATGTTGTAACTGAGAGATTCAAGGAGCCAAATCTGTGGCTCACAACTGAAGTGCCCAGCTGCAGCACAGCTACTGGGGAGGTCGCTCGTCTCCCCCCAGCCACCCTGGAGACCTGCCTGAGGAGCAGGAAAGGAGAAAAAGATAGTACTTACCAGTCAAAGTTATTGTAGTCATTTTTTGCTTCACCCCACATGTACAGAAAGACCAGAGAAAAGCAGAAAGCTCCAACAAGCAATGGGAAAAACACGCATTCCCGCTGGAGAGAGAGAGGAAGGACAAGGGATCAGAGCCTTATCTACCCCAAAACAATCAGAATGAATGATAGATACTTTTAGGCTGTCCATAAAACATGTGGCTTGGTGTTGGACCTCCAGAAACAGAGGTGGAGATAACTTCCCTCCCCATCCTCTGTGACCAGGAGGATGGCCTTAAAAGCGTGCTCTGCAATATTTATTTTCAGGGAAAACAGATTTCATGGCTTTGCAAATGAAAGGGATTTCAATCGCCTTGTGTGAGAAGGAATTGCACTGTGCAGCAGCCCACTTTATGATTTTTACTGCACACCCAGCCCAAATTTTCCCTCTTCAGTATGATCCAACGGTTTTGAGAGGTTTCACTGGCCTGGAGGGTTTGGAACAAGGTCCTTCCTTGCCACCACACATTTGTTAGTGGCATGGTGGCACAGACAGACTGAGCCTGCCATGGAAACACACCAATACGTCAATCACAGAGCCAAAATCTAACTCTCAGTTGGCTCCAAATGATGTTGAGCAGGGATGCCTTTGGCCCACAACAACAGCCACTTGTCAGCTTGGGCTGACCTGTCCCTGCACAGAAATCAATGTCTCTGCTGATTTTGAGCTAATTTACCATCTTGCAGCAGCATTTCCCAGGCTCAGTCTTTCTGCGCTGGTACCGCTTCCACCGGCAGCTGTAGAAACCAGCCAGGCAGGAGATGAAGGGCTGATGCTCATATCTCTGCAGCAAGCGCCGACGTACCACCTTCAGCTTCCCAAACTTGAGCCTCTTGAGGCTGGTGGAACTGGCCTCCATCTGAGTGGCTTTATCTCATCTTCCTCCTGAAAAAAAGACCACGAGTTTTATGGGGACACTGCAACTCTCTCTTCTTTTTGAGTAAGCTTTTCATATCAGAAAAAAAAGAGACAAGTTTTCTCAAGAGGGTGATGCAACCAGCAGGAAAGGGTGCTGAGTACACCCCACCTGATTTTATATACCTATGTAAGATGTCTAACAGGAAAGCATAACCACTGCAAGTCCCCTCAGCAGTGCTCCTGGTTGTAACTTGGGTGCTTTGAATCCCCTCTGAGGGAACCTCTGCCTCCTTTTGACTACACAAGGAGCTCCGGGAAATTAAATTACTAATTTAAGCAATCTGTGCAGGTTCTCAAATTATGTCAGATGAACCTGAGCCTAGGCTTAGCCATGGGAATTAATTCAAAATCACTGTGACCTGTCTGCAGCCTGCTGCCAATTTAACCAGCTCGTGTAGGAAAGGGAGTAAAAGTCTCCAGGAATGCAGAAGTGTCTCATCCTGGCAAACCTGCAGCACTGCAGAGACTGATCCCTTAAGAAAAAATTATTTCCCGACTGAAATAACTTGTCTTGGCAGAGTTTTTCAAGGGTAGAAAGATAAAGATGCACACATGGGAGATCTGTTTGTAATCACGATTTTAAAAAAAGAACTTGGTGGTAAATTGAAACCGATGTAGTTAACAGCAAAGCAACTAGCACCAGGGTTTGTGCCAGCAAAGAGCGATTCACCCAGCAGGGCACTATCAAGGCCTCAAGGAAAGGCTTGGAAAAAAACAAGTCTTGCTTTGGCACAAAGGAGCACCATTATCCAGCACTTCTTTAGAGTACAAAGACAGCCAGAGATGTCTTTCTGTTGCACTAAAAAGTGCCATAGTATCCTTGAGTCCATATCAACCACGTTCAAATTCAGGCATGTCTGCTGCAAAGTCCCAGCTTAGGACTCTAATTTCTCTGATTTATCTGGTGTAATAACTGTCATTTCAGAACAAAACCGAACAATTTGTTGCACTATCATAGAATCATAGAAT